AGAGACAGTAAGGACAGGAAGCAAAGAAGCAAAGGAGCAGGAAGTAGAGCAGCAAAAACACATGACTGAAGAAAAGAACAAGTAGAATAGTAGAAGTAGAAAGGCACAGAAGTACAAAAGCAGAGAAGCAGGGAAAACAGAGAAGCAGAAAAGCAAAGGAGCAGGAAAAGCAAAAATCAGAAAAGCAGAGAAGCAAAAAACAAGGAAGCAGAAAAGCAGAGAAGCAATGCAAGCAGAAAAGCAGATAAGCAGAAAAGCAGAGAAGCAATGCAAGCAGAAAAGCAGATAAGCAGAAAATCAGAGAAACAGGAAAGCATAGAACCAGGAACCCGAAAAAAAATCCAAAACCTGCCGCGAATCAAAAAAAATAGCCCTCCGTTAGAATGTATGTTAGGCTTACCCTCCGGCAGTCAAGCGTGGCAATGGAAAATCCCCCAACTAATTGGAGGTTTGTAGCTGCGCAAATCATCCAACTGAATGGAGGATTTTCCAGCCAATTTTCGGCTCTAGCCGGGCCCGGTTCGACGGTCCGAGCGCTCTTCACTCGATGCCGCATCAACCGGTTTCGATACCGTCCACCATGGAGAAACCGTGACCGCCGGGACCGGGGGACCATGGTTTAGAACTACTGTAAGGTCTGCAAGTCATTGGGTCCAAGGTATCGTTGATCGGGTTGAATGGGTTACAACTACCCATCAGTTGGGCTGTAGGATTTGATTCCAATGGTCGCTGTCTACATTATCCAGCATCCTCTCAGCTAACAACGAATCACCAATTTTTAGGTTTCAAAGTAGTCTTCTTACCCGTAACTGTTGGCAAGGTCAAATTTTGAACCACAGAGGCCCACACATGGCCTATGTATTAATTTTGTGTAATCAGATATAGTGTAAATTTAACATGGTACTGTCAATCGACAAACCCCTGCACGAGTTGTGAACACTGCCCTCGCTCTCTCTGGTGTATTGATGGTAGCCACGGTAACCACAGGTTTGCTTCCAGCGAAACGATCTTCGTTTCGACATTTTCTTTGAACATCTTTGAAATTCATTCGGACTACTTCCGGCCATCTTTTGATTCAGCAAAAACATCTTGCGAGTTCCAATCACAGTCCATACTCCTTCAAACATCACCAGTTTCTCACACACATCAGGCCCTTCCAACGCAAACTCTGACACCGACTCACTGGAAAGAGGTCCCTGGAAAGAGCATTTCTTGGGAGGGAACGACAAGCACCGTTTGCCCAAATTGGTTCACAATCTGTATCCTATACCTCCGTACCTACGTGCTGAATGCAACCCCAGTATCTCTCGGCTGCATGAATACATGTGTGTGTGTCTATACTGATTATAGACAGGATAGGACTGGAAAAGATAGGATATGATAATGTTGGATAGATGGAGATAGATAGACAAACAAACAGAGATAGGGTAAGATAAGATCAGCTACGATGAGATAAGATAGGACATCACAAACTATTTGATAGACAGATAGACAGACAAACAGACAGGTGGGTGAGTGGGTAGATAGACAGGTACCTCAGTACATCGATAGGTATATAGGTATATAGATAGACAGACGGATAGTATGTAGGTAGGTGGGTAGACACAAACATAAATCCGATCAAGCCACTGCCTATGCAGATGTACATATGATCTTCTTTTGTGGGTCCACCAAGTGGAATCTGAGTGACCACCCAGGAGAAATTTCAGAAGACGTATGAAGCTTGCGAAGGACCCCTCAAGCCATGGACTTGTCATGATGTCTCCCAAAATCCATTGCTTCATCATATTTCTGTATCATGTGTCCTATTTTTCAACAGCCATTTTGGGCTCAAGATTCCACCGAACTTGACCCAACCCTTCTGATCACCGGAGCGTGCTGCCTCAAAGGGAGTTGTTGATCCAGAAGGATAAGTAGGAGGCGGAATAGCCCAGACTCAGATCACCGGAGCGTGCTGCCTCAAAGGGAGTTGTTGATCCAGAAGGATAAGTAGGAGGCGGAATAGCCCAGACTCAGCCTGGACATCGCAACCCTCTGGTACTTTAACAGTTTGCTACGGTATAGATGGCCCCAAAAATAGAGGATTTACATATAACATCATATATATATAAAGTATTGAAAAGTGGTGATTTTCAATAGCTCTGTTAAATTAGCAGAGGCTTCGATGCGGCTTTCTTTCAGCAACCTTCGCAAGCCTGACCTGCCCTTTTCTGCTACAACTAGAGGCAGGATCTTCATCGAGATTTTCCAGTCAATTGTTTGCGTATTGCATAGCCTATCTTAGATACGCAATCAATAACTTCAAACTGGTTACTTACTTAGCACGTAAAACATGTATTCACCTATATATATATATATATATATGTATATGTGTGTGTATATATTCATATATATATATTGTATAATTGTATATTATGTTTAATTATATATCATGTATAATTATACTATATTATATGCATATATGTCTATTACATGCATATGTATATATTCATATATATATATTCATATATATATATAGATTGTATATATATATAATTATTTATTTACCAATCCGTGGCGGGTGGATAATGTACTACCCATGCAATCCGTTTCCCGAGTTAACCGGGATGCTCTTTGGTTGCAACTTTACCTTGTGTATGGGCGACCTCAGCAAAAAGGAGTGACTGGGAACTTTGAATCTCTTAGATCAAATGATATTGAAGACTCCCCAAACGAAACCCTGATCTATTCATGAATTGCGCGCCCATTTGCAGGTATCCGGTATGATCTGAGAAATCTAATATGATCTAATATCTATATGGTCATAATATGATCATAATATGTACGTCAAAAATAGTCAAGACACAAGTCAAATGTGAAAAGATCTCAAGGGTCCGTGGGGATCACAGCCAAGCAGCTCTTGCACATCCTGTCCCAACTCGGAGAAGAACGAGTACTTCTCGAAAGGTTCCTGAGACGGTTCAGATATCTGATTGAACTATATCATTTCACCCACTGACGGAGCAGCAGGAGCAGCAGGAGCAGCAGCACAAAGCAGCAGGCAAGCAGCAGCAGGCAAGCAGCAGCAGGCAAGCAGCAGCAGGCAAGCAGCAAGCAAGCAGGCAGGCAAGCAGCAGCAGGCAAGAAGCAGGCAAGAAGCAGCAGCAAGCAGCAGGCAAGAAGCAGCAGCAGCAAGCAGCAGCCAGCAGCAGCAAGCAGCAGCAAGCAGCAGCAAGCAGCAGCAAGCAGCAGCAAGCAGCAGCAAGCAGCAGCAGCAAGCAGCTGCAAGCAGCAGCAAGCAGCAGCAAGCAGCAGCAGCAAGCAGCAGCAGCAAGCAGCAGCAGAGGCAAGCAGCAACAGCAGCAGCAGCCCGGACGGCGTTCTCAGAAGGACCTGCAAAAAACAAGGTGCTGTAAAGCAAATATTGCGCAAATTTAGCGTTTTCAATGCGCTGACATCTGCGCGTTGAATGCGGCCTGCAGCTGAAGCGGTAGGGCACGCGTCGCTGGCATCGGAGTCCGAAGCGGAGCCTGCTGTCTTGAAGCACGGGTGACGCATTGTTATACGTCACTTTGTACAGGCATGCTTGCTGTTTGCTGCTTGCTGCTTGCTGCTTGCTGGCTGCTTGCTTGCTGCTTGCTTGCTGCTTGCTTGCTGCTTGCTGCTTTCTCAGGTCACCATGTCAAAACAAACTACGGTCCTTCAAAGTCAGGACCGAGCAAATGGGAGGCGGCCCGGACGTCTTGTCCTGCAAGGCCTGTGCCCCTTCAAAGGCTCGGCTGAGCAATTGCGGCATGCAAGGTGAAAATTCCCCGGCTTGCAGAGTCGGTGCGCTACAATACAACTGCACAAACTTCGGGCAATGGTGCACGGTCCACCTCCATACTTCGTGACTGGTGTGAACTTGAGGCTAGCTGAGATACTTGATGTAGACTTAAGGAACTTACAACATAAGTTACTTATAAGTAGAACAAGTAGAAATTAGCTAAAAAATAGCTAAAAATAAGTAGAAATTAGCTCAAAATAAGTAGAAATTAGCTAAAAATAAGTAGAAATTAGCTAAACATATATAGAAAATAGTTAAGAAAAAATAGAAACCAATAAAAGACATTAACTCAAATTTAAATAGAATTGGCCAGACGGAAGAAAGCAAAGGAAAACCAAAGAGGGAAGAAGGCAATTCGAAGTGTGTTGGCATACCTGGGTTTAGGCACAGAAAAATGTTTTTCTTAGACACATGTTAGGTTTAATTTGAAAAGGAATTTAATTTTCATTTTTTTAGTATATTTGTTTACTTGCAAAAGGCATCCTTTAGGGGCCTGGCATCATCATCATCATCATCACCATCACCATCACCATCACGGTGTTTGACCAATGCCGGAAGCCAGGCATTGGTCAATCAAGCGCCGGAAGCCAGACGCTGGAAACACCATTAATTAATACAAGCGTCGGAAACCAGACACTTGCCCTGCCGGAAACCAGACAGAAATTTCAGTCACCAAAACTAACATCATCATCATCATCATCACCATCACCATCACGGTGTTTGACCTGCGTTTTTCTAAAAACTTTTAGCGGCCTAAAGAGGAGGCAAAATGTTCACATGCAAAAAAACATGGTCGTATCTGGGCCGATTTTAGGTCGTATCTGGACGTATCTGGGTATATCTGGGCCGGTTTTAAGCCGTATCTGGACGTATCTGGACGTATCTGGGTGTATCTGGGCCGTTTTTTGGTCGTATCTAGATCTGGACGTATCTGGGTTTATCTGGGGCCGTATCTGGACGTATCTGGGTGTATCTGGGCCGGTTTTAGGCCGTATCTGGACGTATCTGGACGTATCTGGACGTATCTGGGCCGTTTTTAGGTCGTATCTGGACGTATCTGGACGTATGTGGGTGTATCTGGGACGGTTTTAGGCCGTATATCTGGACGTATCTGAGACGTATCTGGGTGTATCTGGGCTGTTTTTAGCTCGTATCTGGATGAATGTATCTGGACGTATCTGGGCTGCTTTTGGGTCGTATCTGAGGTATCTGGAGGTATCCCATGGAGGTATCTGGGCGTATCTGGTCTAATTTTTGTATATGTTTTTTTTTGGCGGGGGGGCTTGACAACGCGGAAAGGTAAAACTCTAAGAACGTGAGAAATTGAAGTTCCGTGACTCTTACAAATTCCTTGTAACTTTAGGTGATGTCGGGGTGAGCATACTTGATGCCGACTGGCGAATCCTGAGACGGCAATTTTGAAACTGCTCATCTCTCATATCTCCAAAGTCCAAATGGTTTGCCATAGCCCTCAAGTAGCGGCCCACTGCTCTCAAAAAGCCAAGTAGGTCTGCCATTGCAGACAAAACTAAAACAAGTCTGCGCCGTCTCTTTTCCAAAAAGGCTACGGCCACCAAGAAACCCACATGTCACCAAAGAAGTGGTTCAAAAACACAAGGCACTGTGGAAGTTGCAGCTCTAAAAACAAGCAACGGGTCTGTTTTCAAATCAAACATTTGTGGGTTCTGATATTTGCGGAGCGTCCCGAAGGCCGCTTATCAGGTACATCAAAAATGAAAGAATAGTAGATGTTTGCTAGAATAAACTAGCAATTTAATAAAAAGTAAATTTGAAATAAAAAGAAAATAAATTCAAAAATAAATCAAAATAGTTTGAAACTAACTTAATTTTGATAAAAATACATAGAAATTAGCAAAAAAATAGCTAATAATAAGTAGAAATTAGCTAAAATTAGCTAAAAATAAGTAGAAATTAAGTTCCTTAAGTTCTGCCAACATAAGTGGCAAAAGTTCATAAGTTGCTTCTAAGTTCCACGACTCCTTGCCCAGAACTTGTGCCACTTATAAGTTACACCATGAACTTAAAGAACTTGAAGTTCATGTTGAGGAACTTGAAGTTGATGTTATGGAATTTAAAGGTTACTTAATTTTCCTATAAGTTCCTCAAGCTCACACCAGTCACGAAGTAGCAACCTTGTGCCCCCTTGGTTCCCTTGCGAGAAGAGCTTGGCGGTAAGCAGCGCCCGCTGCTGCAGATAGCCGAATTGTAGAACGAGGCATCCACACTTTTCCCAGCCTGCTGTGGTTGCCAAGTTCCTTCCCAAGCAGCGTAAGGGCATCCACGCGCCTTACAGGCTTGAATTTCAGGCGCGCCTTCAAGGTTTGGGAAACCTTTCTGCTTCCCTTACCTCGGATCTTTACCCCGGCGGCCTTGAGACATGCGTTAGCTTTGCTCACCACTTCAGTTGCCAGATATTTCTTTGGCACATCCATGGCAGCATGCGTATAAGCGCGTAATTCAATCGCAGCAAACAGGGAGCCATCCTGGCGCGGATCAGGCGACTTAAAGAAGACATGCTCTAGTACCCGTTCCGCAATTGCGTACACAAGGCCGCAGACGGGCAGGATGTGGGCCCGGTAAGCGTCTACACTTGGCAGGGCCTTGCGCGGCACCTCGCTCAAGCTCTTCTTAACACGGGCCCCGGCTGCAATGAATTCTGCGGCGCCGCCGCCCTCTGGCAAGGCATCGAACAAAGCTAAGAGCCGCCGGTCGTTGGAAAACCCAAACAAATCACCATCTTGGTCGGCATTGCGAATACCCGACGCACCACGACCTTTGCGTGTGCAAATGATGGTGTTGTAGGAGCAATACTTGACCCCCTTCGGGGGAGGCATTGCATCCCACACTTGAACGTCCCATGGGTGGATCATGGGGTGCGACCAAACGACAAAACGTCCGAGCCAAGCCTCATTACCCACAATGATATGGCACTGCCGGTCCTACGCGAAAGGGCGGGGACAAGCACATGTCCTGGGTATGAACCTGCTGTCTGAAAGGCATTTGAATCTATTCTGTGGCAAGCGAGGTTGCGTGCCCAACATCACTCGAAGCTGCCCCTGCCTCCAGCGTGCCATAAGGGTCGGAGGTGATCACCGCGCATCCGGAGAGGCCATGCAAAGGCAGCTTTGGCTTCTTGTTGTGCGCCTGGATGAGGGCTGAAAAGCGCCGCCCGCCCCTCTGCATGGCATCTTTGGTGCCTGGCGCGGCAATGCATAACAATTAATAAGGGGCAACAGAAACAGCAAAGCGCAAATGCCTGCAAGACGTAGTTATACAGGTGTACGTCAATTATGTTTGTATACCGCGTCGCCTGCCTCGCAAAATGCACCATGGCTTGCTCTCCGTTTCAGTTTCCTGGAGGACCGCCAATTCTGTCGGGTCAGCGATCTGGTCCTGCGCTGCCAAGGCTGGTGTCACTTGCGGGAAAATTGAAACAGCGCAGGGGCCCAAACCTCCTGGTAGATCACCTCGATGCAGTGCTGAAGCACCCGCCGCTGTGGCCAAGCATCCAGCTGCGCCATCTCTGCTGGGATGCGGGGCGCAAGCACCTGCAGGAGTTGGCGCGACATTGTAGAAGATAAGACGCGGGCCGTACATAAACATGTGCGTACACAGGCGCAGCCATTCACACATGTATGTATATGTATATATATATATACATATAGTTTATTTTTACTTCTTCAAGGTGCACACAAAAGATCTGTGCTGAAAAAATGAAAGCGTTAAAGATGCAAGCTTATGCTTGCACGGAACCCCGTTTCTTATTCCTGTTTGAGGTGAGTGAAGCCTGCTGCTGCTAGCACGTAACTAGCCAGTGCGCCGCTGGCCTTGCTGTTGGCCTTGGACCTTTTGGGGCGGGCAGCGGGCAGCCCCCAAGCTTCTCGCACAAGCTGCCGGAACGGCAATGCTCTTGACGGAATTCAAACATACAGGAAGTTAGGAAATAGAATTCGGAAATAAATTGAAAAGATGTAGCACGCAAGGCCTGCGCAGCCTCATGCCCAGCTGCAAGAAGAACATCTAATGCCCGTTGCGCCGCGCAGCGGTCCTATACAACAACCAGCATATCATGTAATATGTGGCAGCATGCGTGTGTGCAGGAAGGGCGTGTATATATATAGAGAGAGAGAGATATAGATAAAGATATAGATATAGATATAGTATGGTCAATCATCTTGAGCTTGTCTGAGTGGGAAGTTCATGCTTCCGGGCGCCTCATCCAAGGCGCACAGCTGGATGCGCAGCATGATGACCTGGATCATCTGCAGCGAGATGCCAGGCACCTTGATGGCCTTGTGGGTGTCCTGTGAGCAGAGCACACCGTGCTTCCCCCATAAAAACATGCTGAAAGCAACCCCTGTAAGCCCTCCCCATGCATTGATCGCTCCTGGACCATGTTGACAGCAAACGTCGGGCGCAAGGTGCCTGCAGAGGACGGCCATGCCACCTTGACATTGGACTCCCGCATGCAGATGACCCCCAGGGGTCATGTTCCGGCAGCTCGGAGATTTGCATGACGCCCTTTCCTCACATGGCCGGGTAAAGGAACAGCGCAGCAAGCAAACAACAATTTTGGAAAACGCGTCGACCGTATTGCCTGGCCTGATCTGGCCTGCAAATTCCTGGTCTTGCGGATGGTCCGGCAGCACACAACGATATTGCGAGACAGGGTAGAGGGTGAGCCCTGTCTCATCGTTGTACATGGTGTGCACGAGCATGCCAAGTGCCTCCGGACTGAAGCAAAATGAATGATATCGAGCTGCTAGCAGACCAGGTTAGGACACCGATGCATGACGCAACACGCAGGCCCATATAGGGGGACCCGCCTCAGCTGCAGCCGGGCCGATGTCTGATATGCCGTCGGTGGTGTTGACTTCCTCTTCATCGTCGCTGACCACAATGAAGTCATCGTGCGCCACACGGACCAGTGCCTGTATCAAAATTCACAATGCTGATGACGAAACGGGAAAATCGGCTGGAGAACATCTTTGCCCCGTTGACGTACAGGTGGGAAATATATTCTGCTGAAAGCGATTTGCAAATTTCCATGCAGAAGAAAGCGCCTCGGATGGCAAAGGCACAGACCGCGACGGCGTCAGGAGCAGCGGCATGCGCGAATAGGCTTTGGCTTTGCCCCTGGCGTATTGCAGGATCTGGCAAAGCAAGGGCTTGCATTCCCAGGTCTGTCAGCGAGAATGAAGAAGAAAGAGGCGGAAAGAAAAAGGGAGATAGAAAGAACGAGAAAGACAAGGAAAAAAGAGAGAAACAAAGAAGATTGGAAACCTATTTCCCGCCCACACAACAGACTGCTTCACGGGCCTTGAGAGCAGTGGGGCTGTTGCGGAGCTCCCTGCTGCCGTAGACCATGAGCCCTCCTTCCCTCCCGACCAATGCCTGCCGTGCAAGTTGCAGCTGTTGTCACCGGGGCGCATTCATGAATTTAGAAAGTTGTGCGGATAAACAAAAATCGCTGCGCCTCGACCCAGTTGGGGCGCTCAACGCGGGTGCTGCTATACAAGCTCATGATTGAGGGCTTGGCACCTTTCATGCCCCAATCAACACTGAGCAAAACGTTGCACTGCAGCTCCCGCTTGAGGCGTGAATCCTCCAAGATGTTGGGGATCACGGCGCACCAATCCATGCTGAGCATCCTGCATTTAGACCCAAGCGCTTGTCACACAAATTGAAAATTCACGCTCAATAGAAAATAAACCTGCCAGTGATATTTTTTTTCGACAACTGGAACTTGCCTAAATCACAAGCAGAGCATGCTGTCGGCTCCTCTCTGCGTCGCTCCCCTCTCCAATGCGCCGACGCCGCTTCACGGGCGTGGGTGCTGGGTAGGTCGGCGCGTCTGAGGGGATGGCCGCCTCATCCCATAGGTCGAACGGCTCTTCAGCCGGGGACGGGGGAGGCTGGCGACGCTGGTGAAAGCGGTGTAAATGGCACCGCTGGCGAAGATGCCTGAGCCGGTAGAAAGGGAGGCCCTAATAGATGTGGGCCAGCTTTGGCTTTTTTTACGAACATGACTTGTAGGCAGTAAAGCTGTAGCAATCTCAGCCTAACTAGCAATTAATGAAAAAAACATGCACATGGCCTCTGCTTCTGCTTCGTGATTGGCCCGGCAAGTCAGAATTTCAAAATCTAAATTAGCACGAGAAACAATACTTTCAGCTGTCATGCAACAACTTTAGGCTGGGCTATATTGTCGCGGGCAAGCAAGCAGCAGGCAAGCAGCGGGCAAGCAGCGGGCAAGCAAGCAGGCAAGCAGCAGGCAAGAAGCAGCAGCAAGCAAGCAGCAAGCAAGCAGCAAGCAAGCAGCAGCAAGCAGCAGCAAGCAGCAGCAAGCAGCAGCAAGCAGCAGCAAGCAGCAGCAAGCAGCAGCAAGCGGCAGCAAGCGGCAGCAAGCAGCAGCAAGCAGCAGCCAGCAGCAGGCAGCAGCAGGCAGCAGCAGGCAGCAGCAAGCAGCAGCAAGCAGCAGCAAGCAGCAGCAAGCAGCAGCAAGCAGCAGCAAGCGGCAGCAAGCGGCAGCAAGCGGCAGCAAGCGGCAGCAAGCAGGAGCAAGCAGCAGCAAGCAGCAGCAAGCAGCAGCAAGCAGCAGCAAGCAGCAGCAAGCAGCAGCATGCACAGAAAGCAGCAGCAAGCAGCAGCGAGCAGCAGCGAGCAGCAGCGAGCAGCAGCGAGCAGCAGCGAGCAGCAGCGAGCAGCAGCGAGCAGCAGCAAGCAGCAGCGAGCAGCCGCAGCAAGCGGCAGCAAGCGGCAGCAAGCGGCAGCAAGCGGCAGCAAGCGGCAGCAAGCGGCAGCAAGCGGCAGCAAGCGGCAGCAGGAGCAGGAGCAGCAGCACAAAGCAGCAGGCAAGCAGCAGCAGGCAAGCAGCAGCAGGCAAGCAGCAGCAGGCAAGCAGCAGCAGGCAAGCAGCAGCAGGCAAGCAGCAGCAGCCGGCAAGCAGCAGCAGCCGGCAAGCAGCAGCAGCCGGCAAGCAGCAACCAGCGTTTGCCCTCTTGAAAGAGTGATTAAATATAAGCTTTAAAAATCAACGCAATACAAAAATTGCGCACGGCCCCAAAACAATGAAATCGTTCAATTACTAAAAGTTGTGGTGATGCCAAACTTGAACTTTTTCCAGGCGCACGGCCTCCCGATACGACTTTTACAAGCTGATACGACTTAATCCTAGCGTTAGTATATAATATATATATAATGTTTGTTTTTATATGTATACGATTCGATTATATACGCTGATAGTAGCGGATTCTGCGGCAGTCCCCATTAAGAATGCCCATGTATGATGACGTCGTTGTGATGGCATTTCGTGGTTGAGCCATCTCAAACATGGCTAAACGGTCAGAGATGATCTTCCTTTGCGGTACTTTGGATGGAACATCTACACGAAACCCATGGTTTTTACTTTTTACCATGAATTTGTTTGGGGGGTTCCTGTAGTTTTTGATGAACCCACAGAAATGTCCTATCAAAATGTCCCCGGTCTCAAAGTAGCTGGCTCCAGATTCTTCATCATCTTCACCTAGGAGCCTTGAAAAAATACAATGTTTAATACCCCTCTTTTGACTTTGGAAAAACCAAACATCTGGCCAAATTACAATTACAACATGTATATTAATATACATATATATACCAGATGTATGTAATTTGTTGTAGCATTACATATTGATATACATATTGAAAAAAAAATATATATATATATATACCATTACAACATGATATATATATATATATATATATCCGCCGACCCCGGCCTTCCCCAAGGCAGGGGCGGCGCCTGGGACCACCGCAGGTGTGGAACTTGTCTTTCTTAGCAACAGGCATCCCAAGGCCACATCCATGGCTTTTTCTGGGCGTCCAAGCTTGCCGTTTGCCAGGCCTAAAACCCTCCAAACCCTCCACATCCATGGCTTTTTATGGGCGTCCAAGCTTGCCGTTTGCCAAGCCTAAAACCCTCCAAACCCCTCAAACCCCTACAAGGCCACTTCAATGGCTTCTTATGGGCTTCCATCGCAGGCAAAAGCCCACATCCATGGCTTTTTCTGGGCGTCCAAGCTTGCCGTTTGCCAGGCCTAAAACCCTCCAAACCCTCCAAACCCCAAAAAAACCCTAAAACCCCTACAAGGCCACTTCAATGGCTTCTTCTGGGCTTTCATCGCAGGCAAAAGCCCACATCCATGGCTTTTTCTGGGCGTCCAAGCTTGCCGTTTGCCAGGGCTAAAACCCTCCAAACCCTCCAAACCCCTAAAACCCCGAAAAGGCCACTTCAATGGCTTCTTATAGGCTTCCAGCGCCCACAACCATGGCTTTTTATGGGCGTCCAAGCTTGCCGTTTGCCAGGCCTAAAACCCTCCAAACCCTCCAAACCCCTACAAGGCCACTTCAATGGCTTCTTCTGGGCTTCCAGCGCAGGCAAAAGCCCACATCCATGGCTTTTTATGGGCGTCCAAGCTTGCCGTTTGCCAGGCCTAAAACCCTCCAAACCCTCCAAACCCTCCAAACCCCTAACAAACCCTCCAAACCCCTAAAACCCCTAAAAGGCCACTTCAATGGCTTCTTCTGGGCTTCCAGCGCAGGCAAAAGCCCACATCCATGGCTTTTTATGGGCGTCCAAGCTTGCCGTTTGCCAAGCCTAAAACCCTCCAAACCCCTCAAACCCCTACAAGGCCACTTCAATGGCTTCTTATGGGCTTCCATCGCAGGCAAAAGCCCACATCCATGGCTTTTTATGGGCGTCCAAGCTTGCCGTTTGCCAGGCCTAAAACCCTCCAAACCCCTAAAACCCCTAAAAGGCCACTTCGATGGCTTCTTATGGGCTTCCAGCGCAGGCAAACGCCCACCTCCATGGCTTTTTATGGGCGTCCAAGCTTGCCGTTTGCCAGGCCTAAAACCCTCCAAACACCTAAAACCCCTACAAGGCCACTTCAATGGCTTCTTCTGGGCTTCCAGCGCAGGCAAACGCCCACATCCATAGCTTTTTCTGGGCGTCCAAGCTTGCCGTTTGCCAGGCCTAAAACCCTCCAAACCCTCCAAACCCCTAAAACCCCTAAAAGGCCACTTCAATGGCTTCTTCTGGGCTTCCATCGCAGGCAAAAGCCCACATCCATGGCTTTTTCTGGGCGTCCAAGCTTGCCGTTTGCCAGGGCTAAAACCCTCCAAACCCTCCAAACCCCTAAAACCCCGAAAAGGCCACTTCAATGGCTTCTTATAGGCTTCCAGCGCCCACAACCATGCCTTTTTATGGGCGTCCAAGCTTGCCCGTTTGCCAGGCCTAACACC